CAATTCTCGTCCTTCTTTTTGCGCTTATAGGGCCGCTCAGGAAAAATAAAGAATATTTATGTGTTACATGTATGCGCCTCTGTATAGAGCGAAAAAAACTGTTTCGAGAAAGTGCGGCATATACGTAGAAGGTCTCTCCGATCGGAGTAGCTGTCACCGTGGCTTTTGAAAAAAAAATCTCCAGGAATAAGTCTGTGTCACCGGGCCGGTTGGACTAAGAACAAGTTCGAATATTTGAACAGAAATGTAATCGATAAAGTAAAAAATGCAGAAAAACGAAGTTTTGTATGTTTATGAATCAACGAGAGCAGCCTATTTTCTTGGAAAGAAATATACTAATCAAATGAGAAAATAAAAATTCAGAGAATATTATTTCAGTGGTGTTTCTGCATATTTTCGGAGGTCTCGGAATCACCGCTGGTGCTCATCGACTTTGGTCTCATCGATCGTACAAAGCCAAATTACCCGTACGAATTCTGCTTATGATTATGAACTGCTCCGCTCTCCAGGTAAAATTTGCCCCCTCTTTTTAATTTCTGATATTTCCCCCTTTCTGGAAAGAATCACCGAAATGGCTCTATATCCTTAAATGATGGCAACATTATCACGCGATTAGCCATGGCATGATCTTTCGCAAAAAATTCACGAGCATGACGGATAGGGTTGAACTATCAGTGATAAGTGATGCAAAAAGTGGCGAGGTGTGACCAAACATTTGATAAGGAATAAAAAAGATCACAATAATAATGACGGCTATAAACTTGTAACAGTTCTTCCTCCAGATGGCTAGCTTATTCTTTAGAACGATATCATCGAATGGGCTCGTGATCACCGTTGCCATCATAAATGGACCGATACGCATGCGGATCCCCATAACACTAATCGTGGCTTCTTCTTCGCCCATATGGGATGGCTACTTGTTAGAAAACACCCTCAGGTCCGTGATTCGTTGGTGCTCCTCACACTATGCCTTCTAAGGAAAGATTCTAATAAAACGTTTTTTTTTTCAGATCAAGGAGCAAGGAAAGAAACTTGACCTGTCTGACCTCTATGCCGATCCAGTATGTACGTTCCAGAGAAGGTATCTCAATACTATATTTATCAGTTTATCTAATACCCTTTAAAATTTCTTTTCCAACGGGGTTCACGAACAGATCACCCTAAAGTGTCCTGGAATTTCTCTCTTTTCTTTTGCATAATTATCCAAAATACGGGAAATACGGGACTCGTTTCCCAAGAACCATAATAATCCAAGCATGAATTCTAGCGATAGCCTAAAGTGGCAGCGATTGTTTGTGCTCATACCGATACTGGCAGGCACAGAGAGTCAGAACTGACTCGAGGATGAGGTAGAGGTGGCACAGTTGTGTGTTCAATATCTCGGGAGCACAGGAAAGCCTCTGAGTGTCCCTCTCCAAGAAACAAGTGAATGTTCGACGTGTCAGAGAAGACGACCAGTGCCTTCACAGGCTCCATCAGGACTCTGGACACAAACAAGCTCTTCGGGGCGTTCACGGGCTCTATTGGGAGATCAAACTGTAGGTGACTGTCCTAGTGACGGACTGAGCGGTTAGCTTTGCGTGAATTTCTTTGTGCGCGGGATAGAGCGCGCACTTTCGGTGTTGTGCTTATGAGGTGCTTACAATCTGCCAATCCGTACCGATAAAAGGTTCTGCTGGATCAGATTGGAGCGAGTCATTCACGATGATACAGCGCTTCTGTAATTGCACAATTCCGCGGTCATAAACATTGACGACGGTATGACGCGCATGCGCGTCAGATTGTCACACGAAAGGGCATCATCCTGCTTGACTTGAATGATTTTTATGCTAGAAAATCGTCCATCTGCATAACCAGGGTCGGAAAATATTTTACAATTACTGAAGAGTGGTGCTGGTTTTGCAAAATATTTTGGAAACAAATATGTCGAGGAACACGTAGAACGGATTGTCGTCAATGTTTTGATCACAATGACTGCAAGAAAGCAGTTACTCATAGATTGGTGGAGATCACAGGCTTATAATTCTCACCCATTATATTCCATCTAATTATGAGGCTCTTATAAGGACAAGATAAACTAAAGCCCTTGTATGAGTCTTTTCTTATGTAATAAATACGAAATATTACCGTTAAGGTACTACCTGCCATTGGTGTTGGTGTTCTGCTTCCTGCTACCGTCAGCAATTCCTGTGAAGTTCTGGGGAGAATCTGCTTTCGTCGCGTTCTATACTGCTGGACTTCTACGCTACACCCTGCTGCTCCACGCAACATGGCTGATCAACAGTGCTGCCCATAAGTAAGTCAAATGCTTCAAAGACGTCGATGGACAAAGCTTTGCCAAATTATCCGTTTGTTCAGATTCGGTTTCAAACCGTACGACACGAAAATCTCACCTGTGGAATCGGTCTGGACTACCGTCTCAGCGATCGGAGAGGGCGGCCACAATTTCCATCATACCTTCCCGCAGGTATATCTTGTTCTTACTGTAGCTTCAACCTTGCAGAAAGGCACTCCAAACGAAAATGAAATGAATTCAAGCGCGTTACGCCAGTGGGACGAAGGGAGGCGGAAATGCAAGCATGTTTTGTTGTGCAGCTTACCTGAAATTTGAAAGTAGCTTGCCGCACATCCTTGACGCGGGATTATTAAAGCATGGTAGAGCATAACTTCGAATACAAATAGGCCCGTCCACTTCACATGATGATATGTATAAATACTCATTACCAACAGTATTATTCAAGAGGGCGGAAAAGGTGAGGTGGCGAATGGAGCCACTTCCTAAGGCTTATGGTTCGCGGTGAAATCTCGGGTCGAAACTTGCACAGGCCAATCAGGGCTCCCATCTCTCCGGGGTCGGTCAATAGGTATCACATCTCTCTGGGAGGATTAAGACACTGAAGCTCCATGAACTTGTACATCGGCTGTCCTCGCATGGGATTGTGTACGTAGACCATATCTCATTCAAATACTACTACGATCCTTGGACGTAGACTGTGTGGTACATCTCAAAATGATTGATCAACGAAGACTTCATCCTTGGTGATTTCACAATAATTATTCGATGAATAAGCAACCCCACTTTAGGATTACCGTACTTCGGAATACTCGCTGAAGCTGAACTGGACCAGGATCTTCATTGACACCTGTGCTGCTCTCGGTCTGGTGTATGATAGGAAATCGTTTTCTGAGGACGTCATCAAACGGCAATGCGAAAAGTACGGCGACCCGGAACTTCGGGGAAAAGTAATGTTATGAGCATAGGTGTATAACCACAGAATTTCAATGGAGTATCGTTCGGGTTCCTTGTCTGAATTGTATATTAGCACAGTTTCATGGGGTGTCATCAATAAATGTCATCTTCTATTTGTAAGGCATGCAATTACCGCTAGAAGTCGTATTTTTTCTTGTGACATGCTTTATAACATTTTATTTTCTCGCACACAAGGGCGCCGAGAAGTGAAAATAAATGAAGGAGTAAGAAGGAAGGTCACTGTCGCGGTACGCGACGGTCGTCCGGGCGCGCGCTGCACGCCTGGGCTCTGTCTCGCTCCATGGCCATTTATGTTGGGCGCGCGCGGCCTAGAAGCGTGCGCCACGTAGTGGCCCCCCCCAGCCGAGGCCAGTCGTCATGCGGTCGCCTCTGCCGGTTGGGGTCGGTATGTTCGGTATGGCGTCGGTATGTTCGCACCGCGTCCCTATCGAGGTTCGCCTCGCTTAGGCCCGATGGTGTGATCGGCTGTAGGGCCCTCAATAACATCTGAGGGAGGAGGCAGAGTGCAGTGTAGGATTACCGCGAAGGACCCTTCCGAGGACATGGTCAGATCCGACGCCGGCAGGACGTAAGAGTAGGACGATGGATTGTTCAGGAAGGACCTCTAATAAATGTGAGTATTCATATGTGTTGTATTATCATGTGTGGAGCTAGTGGTCAGGGAGCGCCAGGGCAAGGGGCCCGACTTGTGCGCTATACCGTCCAATGTATCGGTTGTTGTGCATGCTTATGTTGTGCTGCGTAGATGCCTCGGGGAGCGGCGCCGTGTCGGGGGAAAAACGGCACGGTCCCCGGGATGACCCGCTAGGACAGGCACCCTCTAGTTGAGAGAAGGGGATCCGGAACCCCGATCTGTCGCACCGGGAACGGGACCCGGAGGGCGGTCTCGGGGAAGACGGGCACCCTTCCCCCAACGGTTCCGCGACATGGTGCATACGGCCGCGTAAACATCGGACCGCCTGTTTCGACGACGATGCGAAAGAAACAGGAGGTCCTCTCTGCTTCAACGGGGATGCGAACGAAATAGGGTCGAATAAGACGGCGCTACCACTAGGGACCCCCTAGCCTCGTCCTGTGGGTTAGTTAGTTTCAACATAATCGGGTAGCAAACCCACTCTTTGGGACACTCGGGTTCTCCCCGCCCTCACCCCGGGTGCAATTCATTTGGTATTCTTTTTGTAATTTTATCTTCTTTTGGTATGTCAAATCGCTGCTGTCCATGAGATACCGGCCGGATATTAAGCGGCACAAAGAAGAAGGAGTTTTGGTTAATGGGACTGTGGAAACTCACTAACTGAAACTTCGTCCTGCGCAGTTCTTCCTTTGTGTTCGTGATGGCGGATGAGGCGCGTTCCGACGGGTTATTGGCAGAAGAGTCGCCAGGTCATGGAATGGACTCCTAGTTGGGGTGGCCGTGATCAGCTTACTAGTTGTAAGTGGTGTTTCCAAGCAGAAATATCTTCTCCGGCCCGGGCGGCTGCTCGACTTGTAGGGCTAGGCGCGATAGAAGGTAGCTCGTTGTTCCTGTGAGGGTAGTCGGGGCAAATGTTGGTAATTCGAAGGAACGACGCTGACAGGTGCCCTGGCCAGCAGCGATTCTAAAAGGGTTTTGTCTACCTCCGGCTTTCTAGGGTTTTTCCCCTCCCGATTCCCTCCCTTGGGTATCTAAGGCATGTTTTGCTAGAAGCTCGCGCATTTGGTTTTTACATATTTCGCAGCGCAAAGAGCCCCTATTCTGTTTCCAGACAGCTAGTTCCACACTATAGCCGCGTTTCGAGAAAGAACCCTCAATTTCATTACATTTTTCTCATTTTTTACAGTCCTTCTCTCACTCTTTATTCGTTTCTCGCCTTATTTCTGAGTCATATACTCTTTTTCCACTCTATTTTTCTATTTCACAGCTCTTATTCCTTTCCCCTGTTCACATCGTTTTGCTCGATTTAGTTCCATCCTTAACATTTTCGTCTAACAAGTACTCTCTTTTACTCCTCCTTACCCATTGATGTGCTCTTTTACCTTCATTTTCGCATCTTATTCCTAACATGCTTCTTTCGTTCTTTTCTTTTATCTTATTTGTTTTCTCATTGTTAGCTCTATTTCCTACCTATGAAATAATAGCCCATCACCAGTTCCGTATTTATGACTCTTATACCCTCGATTCTTTTATCTAATTTATCCTTCATGACCTCCATCTTGTCCTTTTAGTTAGTCCTGTTCAGATTTTACCCTTTACAGTCCGATTTAACTCGATCACCTTTCCATATTTGTTTTATTATCTTGTCGTCCTTCTAATTTTCTTCTTCATCTTTCCCTACCTCTGCCTTGTCACCCTCCCGCCCCACCCATAACTAAGTTCTTCTTGTCTGTTAGGAATTTGTGTGCATTTTATCCTCTTATCCTCCATCTTCCATCTTTTCCCTCTATAATCTATCCCCTTCATTTCCCTCTTCATTTTCTTTCCTTTGTGGTTCTTTCGTTCCAGTATTCCGCCGAGATCTGCCCGACACAGATCTTTTTACCGCTTTGATCAGTTTTCCCTGATCGTTTACCTTTTTTCATCTAAATGATCGAATTTCGATCAGCATTACCGCTACGATTAGTTGTGGATGGAATCTTTATTTCGTCCTCATCTGAATGATCGTTTACCGCCATTGTTCCCTTTTTCCTTTTAATTCGGTTGGTTTCGGTGTCGATCCCTCTTATTTCTATCGAACGATCCCTTTTCCAATTGTATTCTAAGAAAGTCGAAGTGATCCTAACGATGTACAACACTTCTCATCCCAATCAATGAGGGACTTCAAAGGGACACCGACATGGGAATATACTCTGCTTCTCGCGAGTCTCTCACAGGTGTCGACTGGCTGGCGTGCGACGGCAAGAGCTTTTACACGCGTATGCATGAGAAAGTTCACCAGTCGGTTGCTCGCAGCCCATCGATTGACTTTAGCGAACATTCAACTCCAAGTCGTCTCAACGATCGTCATGGATGCTGAACTCTTCGAGGAAGACATGGCGAAAGCCACCAACAGTCTTCGAGAAGCTATCAACTCGGTTGATCCTAACCTCCTCAGCGACATCTCAGTCAACGAGGATCAAGGTTCAACCCAGGATCCAGAAAGCAACGCGACTAAGCATCGAGAAGTCATGCTCGCTCAAGAAGATATACGCCATGCACTTGATAACATCCATCAATGCTGGGACTTAATGGGTCGTGTGGCACATCAACTCAAGGACCCACAACAACGTCAACTCCTCTACGACCAAAGTAAGTTTAATTGGGAATCATTAGGGGGAGACCTCGTAGAAAAAGAGGGCAAACTTCTGTCTAAGCTAGCAGGTAATCTTAGGATTCTCCAATTTAGGGGTAGTTCTCTCAACCAATCTTCTAATCATTCTTCTAATCATTCTAGTTTTTCCTTTCTAAGTTAAACATTTTGTCTCCAAAGGAATACTGTTTGATGAGAACGAAATGGTTCTTATTCTGTTAAAATCTCCTCCATGAAACTCAATCTTAGCCTAGTACACATAATCTATGTCCAATGGCTAAATGCAATCGCAAAAAAACCTGTAACTTCAATAGGTAAGTAAATCCCTTCTACCCATTCCCGGCCGTCAAATAGAATGTGTAGTGCATATGAAATGCACGTCATACAGTTCACGTTCACGTCATACAGCTCACTTTCAGTCCTAGTGAACTGCATTCTGAAAATCTACCAGGGCTAGCTTTGTTTTAGGTGCTCACACACAAAATATAAAAGCTTGGTAGTAAGAGAAATGCAGTGGTCAGCAGAGTCGGGTTGTTCTTTTGAAATTCCATTGGGCCTGTTCACTTTTCACAATTGATGGCACATTTTACATTCACAAAGACAAACGATACTCCACCAAAATGCAGTCGTAACAGTCAACTTATGCGGTCACAATATAGGAGCGACGTTAGCATACAACTCAACCTTGCAGAAATACCCGTTAAGCGTCACGCTGGGGACTTAAGCGGGTCCTACATGAATATCCTTCAAACGATGGTGCACTGAATCCAGCACCTAGTGAAAAATCAATGCTTCCTTACTGCTCTGACAAACAGAACAATGCGTTTTTTTGCAGGATAAAGTATTCAAACTTGTACATGTTTTCCTTCCAAAAATGCTAAAATGCAGACAATGAAGAACAGGGTTTCCCACAGCTTTTAGAATACTAGAGGAGGAATACGTGAGCAGGCGGAAAGCGAAGGTCATTCGGAAGTAGGTATGCGTAAGCCAGGCGTGACCCACCCTTTCATATAAAAAGTTTTACAGTTTTTTCCTGAGAAAAGAGGAAGCCGTTGGTCATGTAATTCGTGAAGTGGCGGTGAAACAAAAATCGAAAGAATCGCGAAATGGGTCACTCACTAAGCCCAGATTTGGATGTGGACGAGCTCACCACTTACAAATAGCTCGTTAGACTGGGCAAACTGACGGGTGTTAAGACACGATAAAATTAGAAATACGTGGAGACGAATGCGAAAGTTCATTTACAAAAAGGGGCATAACTCAAGGAAGATCCACTGTTCTCAGAGAGTGATTGGCGAACACGTAGTTTAAGGGAGAAAATCCATGAGGCAGGGGGTGGAATGTGAGACATCCAGCAGATAGGTAATAGCATCCGTTTGGTGCTTCGCATCAACAGCAGCGAGTGAATCTAGCAAACGGATCATGAAAGCAAGGGCAAGATATCTTCCAAAGACATATCTTTCGTTAACGATGAGTAATTTAAAGCTTGCTATTGGGAACTCACCATTTTCCTGAGATGACATAAATTCCTGCTGGTATTGTAGTTTCGAAACCAGCCGCTCTATGTATAATGAGCTGAATGATTGAGCGCAAACTTTGATACGCTTCCATAGCGCAGATTTTCCTGCAAAGAATATTTGAATTTTGAACTAGAGAATTTTGTGTGCGAATGAGACATCAAATTCATCAAAACTCATGCAACTGCAATTACCTAGATT